CTACAAACAATACAGACAAAACGTAGCTCCTCCTTGACATAAAAAGATGGTTTCCATAACACCAGTACAACTTTCCTATCTGGGTAGGACTTTGGCGCCATCTTGAAACAGGATATCATACGCTACACTGTGTGTATGTGGCATATGGACTTGTTTTCTCCATCCTCCCGCGTTGATTTAGCAGTGAGATCCGAGTGGAAGCACCCCCCCGCTTAAATCCCTGTTAATCTGTCACAGTGGCCGGAGCCTCGCTATCTCATCAGCTTTGTATTGGTGCGCTGCCCCGCCGAGACACAAACATCCTGTTTGCAGAGGGAGTGGGCAACAGAGAGAGCGAGAGAGAGAGAGAGAGAGCAGTGGAAATGCTCACTTAATGGAGCAGACTGGGAAGAGTGACTGGAATGTCCCAGCAAATAGGCAGTGAAAGTTTCAAAAGGGGGTTCGAAAAGTCACTCTCTGGAAGCGATATACTGTAGGTTAACAATATCCAAGCGCATAAGCGACTTCAGTACGCGTGCAGAATAATACGAGCGTATTGTAGCTATCTGGGGATTGAAATTGATCTTGGAATGGGCCACCACGGCAGTGGTTGTTATCCTGTTCCCCATTTGGGAGGTTTGGAACAAGTCATCAAATAGAAGAAATAACGAGTCAATCCTTCAGATGATATTTTGCACATTTGCTGGAAAATATTTGATGATGGGGACCATAGAGAAACGTCTTGTGTTGACTCACATGAACTCATAGATAAAGCAGCATCGCCACCTTGTGGAAGGGGAACGAGCATTGGAGCGACACTTAAAAAAAAAAAAGAAAAAATTAATCAAGTACGCACATTTATATACTTTTATTTACATTTGTATAAGAATAAATTTATAATCCCCCGAGAATAAAGGTTGTAGTTGGTTTTTGGATAAAGATTATTTCTTTTTTAAGAAGTGTGTAATCTGACTCGAAGGATATTGTGTAAAATATTTTTACCTGATTAAATTTCAACCTGATTCTCATATCATTGTGAGTTGGGGGGAAAAAAACCCTCATTCTTGTATTATTTATATTTTTTCTAGAAAAAAATAGTCTCGAAATATATTTGTTTAATCTTGTAAAATTATTCATTTGCTCAAATATACATAAATTTTGCCTTCAAAATACATATTTTTCATAACATTGTGATTTTATTTCTAGATTATTTCTGCAACTTTATTCTTGCAGTATCGTTTTTTATTTTCCAATGTGGCCTTAATACTGCATTTGTTCAGTTAGGAACAATTCAGGATCAGTCGCTTTCATCTGTTGAAACAATCTCATTCCAGACAATCACATTCGTATCATTTATTAATTTCAAATCCATTGCGGTGTTGTGGATACTCCGGTGTCATGATATCACAAGTTGGTCTCTCGTCGTCGGTGTGACTCAGCTGACGGCGCTCATGTGAAGTGGTCAATGTTGACCGGTCACAAAACACAAAATCAGGAAGTCAACGGAGAATGAGGAAATATGATACACTACGTACATATCTACAGTATACTGTATATTTATCAATATAAAACTTATTAAGTTTTTACTTCCCAAGTTAGTGTCAGCATTTGAACATGCCATTTACTGTAAGTCCACTTGATTCCTCAATGGAATGTGATAGATATGAGTTGCCACACATGAAAATTGTGACATAGGAGGTTCCGGCCCAACGCCGGCAATATATGTAACCACAATGTTATCTCTTTGTGGTCGACTGCTGTAACTGATGAATGGTTGTGATGCCACTCAGTCTAGAAAAATATCATATCTCACAAGTATCGGCGGAAGGATCGATTCAAATATGGATCATATTGAAACAAGCGTTGATACAATAAACCCATTGTACTTTGATAAGATGAATACTCTCGTGCAGGGCTCGCCAATCTTTTTGTGGCTGAGAGCTACTTCTGAGTACTGATTCATGCGAAGTGCTAGCAGTTTGAGACACACTTCTGAAATAACCAGTTTGCTCAAATTGCCTTTCATAATGTGATTACTATGTTTTTATTCATCATTAATGATATTCGTTCTTGTGCTTTCCCGCAATAATTAGCAAACGGATAAATATCAATAGGCAACACTTATTTTTCTATAAATCTCTGAGAGTGTTCACATTTTCAAATAATCATTTCGTCAACATTCCAAGGAAATCACAATGTCCCATCACTGGGGAAAACAGGTCGCAGGAGTCACCCGGTGCCCGTGGTTACCACGGTGGTGACGCCTGATTTAGTGTCAGTTTCTCAACTGTATCACATTTTCCTATAGGTCAATATTTCTTTGAAAACTCAGGCTTTGGGCTTGTCTGTTCAGTTTAGTGATGCACCATTACCATTTTTTTCAGTACGTACTCATCGATCAAAGTACCGATACTTGGTCATCTTACAATTGACACACAATGTTTATTTAAATCAAATTCCCCAATTCTAATAAGGTCAGGTTGGTAAAATGGTAATGGTGTCATAGTATCGGAGCATTTTTACCTAAGTATAAGTTCAGTACAAACATACTGTATCAGTACCCTGACAAAGAAGTATCTTGTACCAGTACAGTTAATTTTTGGTGACAAACTTAATTGGAGACTAGTATGAACCATCACTCTTTCATCCGATATTCTCAAAAGGGGTGAAAGTAAGTAAATAACCCAGCTATTTACATGATAAACCCATGGGGAACTGTTTTATTTACTCCAAATAAAATGTGTGAAACGAGAAGTCAATCCTTTTCTCATGTGTGGCAATCTGATTCGTTTTGCAAGTGGTGCAGTCTCCACCTACTGGCTATTTGAATTAATGTAGTTGTTTTATTTTTCCTCCAACTGGAAGCAACATCCACTTTTTCCAACCCTTTAAATTGATCGGGAGACATTTAAAAATCTTGATGCCTTAATCTAAGATGGGCCTGTTTTTTTTATGTGGTGACCTCATTTGAGGCTTGGGGCATAACGGAGAGGGAACAGTGAAGACGAGCGTTATGGTATGTGCTTTTTAATTGTCACGTGCTGCTTTACAATGCTCGCAGACGGCAATTTAAAGTTTACATGAGTGCAGTGTGATGCTGCTTGATTTGATGTCGCACAGATACCTTAAACTTGCTTTTTTGGTGCTTGAGCAGGTTATGATTTTATGCGCACTTTTCCCATGAGGCACAGCAAAGTCTTGGCAAGCCTTAAAAAAAAAGTCCAAATTGCAGCTACTTTGGAAACTGGATTTTTTTTTTTCCTAATACAACTGATGAACTGGTGCCACACGGCGGCCTAGTTGTTAGCATGTCTGCCTAACAGTTCAGACGTTTGAGGTTCGTATCCCTCCTAGCATATTGCATGAATCAGCAGTAGAAAATAACGATGTAATAAATACTTTTTTTAAACTTTTATTCTTCTAATGGAGTTGAATCAATACTTCTGCTGTTACCAGAGTATTTCTTCTACTTCTTTACTACTCGGTATTTACTCTACAAGTACAGAGCGTGAGGACTTTTAGCATCTCTGTCAAACATACATGTGTGAAGAGAGCAGCTTCTATCTTTATCTGCTTTGGCCATACTGTTCCCTGCCCCCTCCCTTCGACATACATAACCACACTACACTTACATGTTCAGTCGGACTCATTTAGAGTCATCGGGTCATTCAAATGGGAGGACAATTTAGGCACCAACATTTCTGAAAAATTAACAGTGGTTCCGCCTCCATTGAAGAAAGGGAAGATGCTGGTAGTAAGGCAGTTTCAGGAACACATGTAAAATGAATATGACTAAAATGACTCATTTTATCGAAAAAAAACTTTTGCTCAATAAAGCTATTTCAAAGATTTATTTTCATTCAACCTAATCACTAAAGCTGTCACGATACGGTTTTGAAAGTGGAAATCACGATGCGTCCCTCCAAGTCCAAGACATTTTGCCTCCAATCAGTGACAGACGTTTGAGCACACAAGCTCGCAAAGTAAATTTACTCTAATCTTAATTATTGTTTTAGGTTCATTTTAAAAAGTGTAAAACCTAGAAAGAAGGTAAATACTGTACGGTAATAACAATAATATAATGCGTAATATAATAATATTAAAGCCATCTCTGATTAAAATTTGCTGTTGACCAGTGTAATCGGTTTATCCCTAAAATGTACTACTGTCTGGTTTATACTGAGAAGTCAAGTCAAAATTTTTCTTCACAATATGTTCCCCCCATTAGTCTAACCACAGTATTCTGTATAATGTATTTGAGGATAAGGAATTAAGCTGCAAATCCACATTTTTTCAACCGTCTCGGGGCGGCCATTTTGTCACTTGTCAACTGAAAATGACATCATAGTGGCTCAGGCCTCAGTTAACAACCAATCACGGCTCACCAGCTTTCTGATTGTGGTCAAGCGACATTCGCCAGATGAGGCGTCTTGGTCATTGCCTCAGCCCTGACCAACTGTGCTGTCATTTTCAGTCAGCAGCAAGTGGCAAAATGGCCAACCTCTGAGATGGATAAAAACGTGGATTTTGCCGCTAAATTCATTTTCCAAAAATGCAAGATTAATCACAATACTGTGTTTAGACCAGCGGGGCTGCATAGGACATAGTGTAAAAAAATTTTTTGACTTCACTTCCCCTTTAACAAATGACAAAAAGTGATTTGGGGTGGAAAACTGTACTCCCCCCAACTGAAGTAAACACAGCCACAGTCTGCTCTGGGAAATGTGTTTAATATATTCAAACAATTCAAATCTTTGTTGTGTCGATACAGCCGTACTTTAGGCACGCGTTAGCAGAGAAGTATGTGATGTAAATCCAATGTAACAAAATTTTATATGAAAAAAAAACACAATTGAAGAAAAGTTTCATTGTGTTTGTGCAAATGTTTGGCCTTCGAGTTTCATGATTTTTATAATATTGCTAATATTTTGATAATGTTTTAATATACGTTCCAGTACTACAGTGTATAGTGGCAAATAACTACTGTATACTACTGTATGGGCGGAAGATTGCAGATGTAAACTGTTGGTATGGGGGGTGGAGAGGAAATAGTAGTTTTACAATAACTGAAACGACGTCTTAGGCTCGTCGGAGATGTAAAATATGACAAAGTCGATGATAAAAAGTTACGTGGCCACAAGTAGACAACAACTTGAGTGAGTAACACACGTCGCGTTGCACAGTGCTACACAACAGACCTACAACATCCGGGCTAGTCGGCTCACGCAGGAACGGAATGGCGGCGGAGGTAAGTGGACGAAAACGAGGCTCTGGGTCGCCCAGACGACGGGCTAAACCGGGACCAAAGACGGCCGCGAGTCACGCTCCACGGTACGGCGTATGTGTCGGCTGTGTGACCGGCGAACTAACGCGGAAGGGCTGGAAGCGGGGAAACGTAGCAACGCGGGGGTTAAACATCGGGGAAGTAGAGATAGAGGGGGGAGGAATGGAGAAGCTCCCCGGCGTTTCGAGCCTTTCGCTCGGCGTTAAAGAGCCATTCCTCCCCCTCCTCCTCCCTTAGAGCCGTCGAAAGGACCCGAACCGACAACAAAGGAAGGAAAGCTAAAAACACGGCGATGGTCCGAGTGGTTTGGGGAAGTTTTTACACGCGGAAAAAGTTGTCCGCGTTAGTCTTTGTCGTCCCCTTTTTTAGTGGGACATTTCGACTTTTTATTTCCTTCTCGCGCGATCCGCCGAGAAGGAAGAGGCGTTCAGCACCAAGTGGCAGGAAAGCGCCCCTGGTCACACAATCGCAAGTTCGCAACACAGGCAGCACAACTTTGTCAGGACAACGGGCCCCGTTTCACAAATAACAAGAACCAGTGAATGGAACTTCTTAAACTTGTGTGCTTCTGTGTCAAAAATACTTTGTTTGCCTATCCCTGTTGCTCCAGTGTCCTCTAACTTTGACGCCTGTGCCAGAAACACGCTAAAAGGGATGCCACCCCCAAACGAAACTATGGTCCATGTCTAATATTGCAAAATGAAACAAAAGATAAGACATGGGGTGTTATCAGGTTGTTTCAATGGCACATATACTGTGTGTCTTAATGTTATGTGCAGTGAAGCAATGTAAAAGACTAAATGTTCCTAGATACCAAATGTCAATAGTTACAACCTGAAGTATGCATACCCCGGAGTAGACTATGATGCCCAAACACGCAGGCTATTATAATTTCAAATTAATCTTATATCACCCTAAAAAAAGTTTGTTTCTACCTTATTCCAGTTTTTTGTATTTTGCAGTACAGTATACTGTAGTTGGTTTCACACAAATCATCTGTTTTGATCCACCTCGCCCCCCCAAAATAAACAAGAACACAGAAAACAAGCTTTTTCTGAAAATATATGTTTTATGCACAGCAGTGTTTTTTTATGCTTTAGTGATGCCTCAAACATCTGAATGGTCCTGTTCTTCTGTAAAATAGCAACAAGAATGAAAATGTGCTTTTGGTGACAAAATGTATTTACAAGTAGTCACCAATGTAACAATTTTGCAAACTTTCACACACTATTGGCATGCTACATAGTAGTAGTAGCTGTATTTAGTAGTAATAGTGTGTGTGTGTGTGTGTGTGTGTGTGTGTGTGTGGGGGGGGGGGGGGCACCC